ATCGGCTCTTATTTGGAAAACCACATAATATTACGTCTACAGTCTCTTTAAAGTGGACACACTGTATGTACTCAACCCTTTCTCTGTAATTAACAAGATATCATTTAGATCATCATTAGCACATGTGCACCAAATCTCAGTTGGGAATTACATATATTATCCTTGCACCCTCCCCTCTCCTCTGAATTAACACCCCTTTCTTAATCACCCCATCCCCCTTTTCTCTCTCCCTCCCAATAAGCATCCCCACCACACCAACACCGAAAAATTGTTAAAGGTGTAGCTAGGGTGGAAGTCAGGGGGTGCAGAGCCGCCATGAGCCCCGCAAAATGACATCCGGAACCTCCAGATTCGTAGAATGACCTCATAGTCAATCAAATTCATTTAAGAATTTGTGAAATTTAGAAGAAAAAAAGGAAGTCTTAATAATAATTAAAATTGACTTTTTAAGACAAATTATTCATGTATTCTTAAACACTTTTTGATGATGTTGATATAGATAGATAGATAGATAAAGTTTATTGCTAAAATACATGTATCTGTGTACAGAACGAGTTTACGATTACAAATTGATGATTATACAGAGCGTCCCATATCATATTAGATTATCTCCAATCTTTAACGCCAAAATACGCATATAATACTAAAAAAATCTACCCTTTTTCTGCAAAAAAAAAATTTCTATTAGCCTAATTAAATTTTTAAAAATGATTCATTCTTCTTAAATTTTCTGATTTATCCCGGAAATTGTAATTTGGACCCATTGACGCGGTCTAATTTGATGTGGGACACCCTGTATTAACAGTACAAGTATAAAGCAATTAGGTGGAAAATAGCTCTTGGCTGTTTTGGTTATTTTTTCACCTAATTTCAACAATGATAACAAAACATTTCAAGTAAATAGATTAAAGGAGATTTATTAGAGATCAGGGTGCGATTTTATCTTATGTAAAATAAATTATACATTAATTAGAATAACCAGAGTTTAAAGTAATTTTCTGACATGTACATAACAAATATCAAAGCATATTAAAACATATCTAATTAGTTTTACATGAATAGCAATTCGGTTTATAACACATTGTCCTATAATTTTCAAAAAGAGAATTTAGTAGTCTATTTTTAAATATACTTAGAGAGTTGCTTCTTTTTAAGTCAAGAGGCAGGTTATTCCACATCTTAAGAAGAGAGCTTGAGATATCTCGAAAAAAAAGGTTTTTGGTAAATGTAAAAGCCAAATATTTGTTATTGGAGATAAGAATGCTAGACGTGGAATAAAAGTTGCGGAGGCTGGAAGATATAGAGTTAGGATGATTTTATTTAGCTGGAGGCCATTCTGCGAATCTGGAGGCTCTGGATGTCATATTGCAAGGCTCATGGCGGCTCTGCACTTCCTCCCGCAGTGTGGTGGGTCGAACGTCTGCATTTAGTATTGTGATATGTATATCCTAATTAGAAAATAAGAAAAGTATAATTGAAAAAAAATGCAGTTATTAACGTAATCGAAGATTATAAGAAGCGCAATATTAGCTCATCATGCATCTTTTGGTCACAGCTCTAACTTAAACTTAGACCCGGCTTTGGTGATATTTAATTACAACGATACCCTTGAAACATTTATCTGAACAATAATGTGGAAGATATTGTAGTTTTCTAGGTGTAGAGAAACACCAATTTAAAATAATCAGTTTCCATAGTTCTTGACATTGATTTCTTGCTTGAGACTAATTTTTACCTGATTTATGTTGATAACCATTATGCATTCTTACATCAGTATTGTTTAGGGGTTTTTTTATTTGAAGTTTTTCTTTGGAACTTTGGAGCTCAAATCATCACTTTTTCTCTTCTCTCTTAATCATTTTCTTACAACCATCACTCACCTCCTTCTAACATACATACTTCCAAGACTGCTTTTTTTTTTTTTTTGTTTTTTTTTTAGATTTTGTTTTGTTTTGTTTGGTATTGCTATTAAGCACAAACTTGTATTTTGTTTGTCTTTTAGTTTTGTTTTGTTTGATTTTACTCTGAAGTGCAAACTTCTTTGTTTTGCTTTTTTCAGTTTTTGTTTGTTTTGTTTGTTATTGCTAATAAGCACAAACTTGTTTGTTTTCTTTTTCCTTTATTTTTTTTTGCTTTTTTTACCTCTTGCACTTTCAAGCACAACCTTGTTTGTTTTGTTAGTTTTTATAATTTTTTTAGTTTTGTTGTATTTGCTTTGATTTGTTTGCTATTTATTTTAAGCACAACCTTGTTTACTTTTTTAGTTTTTGTTTGTTATTGCTGTTAAGTATGACCTTTTTTCTTGTCACTTGTAAGCAAGAAGTACAGATGTGTATGAGTAAAGTTGTAGGAAGGTTCATTGTAAACGTTAAGTACATATGTGTATGAGTAATGTTGTGGGAAGGTTCATTGTAAACGTTAAGTACATATGCGTATGAGTAATGTTGTGGGAAGGTTCATTGTAAACGTTAAGTACATATGTGTATGAGTAATGTTGAAGGAAGGTTCATTGTAAACGTTAAGTACATATGTGTATGAGTAAAGTTGTAGGATGGTTCATTGTAAACGTTAAGTACATATGTGTATGAGTAATATTGTAGGTCTGTAGGAAGGTTCATTGTAAACGTTAAGTACATATGTATATGAGTAAAGTTGTAGGAAGGTTCATTGTTAACGTTAAGTACATATGTGCATGATTAAAGTTGTAGGAAGGTTCATTGTAAACGTTAAGTACATATGTGTATGAGTAAATTTGTGGGAAGGTTCATTGTTAACGTTAAGCACGTACATATGTGTATGAGTAAAGTTGTAGGAAGGTTCATTGTTAACGTTAAGTACGTACATATGTGTATGAGTAAATTTGTAGGAAGGTTCATTGTTAACGTTAAGTACGTACATATGTGTATGAGTAAATTTGTAGGAAGGTTCATTGTAAACGTTGATTACAATTTCCTCTCCACGTCACCCACAAGCACAATGAATCCCATTATCCCTGAGTTTGAACAAAAACATAATTTTCCTCCAAACTTTGTCTTGTTACACTTACGAGAATATTTGTTCATGATTTTCATATTTCTCTTAGTTTACTGATTTTTCAAGAACAATCAGTTCACATTTTCTGAAGTTTTCGAGCTTCTGGTGGAATTATATTCGAAAAAGGTCTAAAAAATGTGAACGAAATGTTCTCACCGAATTGACTCGATAAATTGCTCACATTATGCCATATATTTTCAGACATTTGCAGACTATTTAGAATTCTGAATACTACAGATCCAACAGTTCCGAAGATAAAAATAAAGTATTCATTTCAGAAACCTCAAAACTTTCTTCAAGAATTGGGAAAAAAACTTTATGAATATTTGAATCCAGAAGGAGAGGGAGTGTCAGATTCTTTATTTTACTAAACTTTATACCAACATCTAAAGTTTTGATAGTTCTGCAGAAACGAGGAATAAAAAATTATAAAAATGTTGAAGAAGATATGTAAGGTGAGTTTCTGTGATAGAACTAATTTTTATCTTCTAGATTTTTGAATTCTTTTTAGATTTAGGAATTGTTGAAAGAACAGTACATTAAAAAATTTAATAATTTTTTAAAAATCAATTTAAGTTAATAAACAAAACCCAAGATACAATGCGTAACTTCCTAAACTCGTGGCATATGTTTCAAGCATTTAAGATGGAATTATAGTAAAGCCATTTTCTAAATTTTTCGTGTATTTTTTTCGTAATGCAATAAACTAAATACATTTTCCATGTATTTATAAAGCATCCAATCAGTTTATAATTTAAATACTTAAACACACTTTCTATAAATCTATACCGAAACGATTTCAAAGAAAAATGTGATGAAAAATTGTGGATTCCATAAGTTTGTCATAATATCAACCCTGTCATATGTAAAATGAACATAATATAGCGTAAAGATAAACAAAGGAAACTCTATGAAAAATATTAAATAATAGCTGAGTAAGAAAATGGCCTCTTCTGTGTATCAAGTACGGGGACGAGTGATATTGGGTATAGAGGGATGATGAGAGAGAATTGGAGGGTGGTGGAGGGTGGAGAAGAAAATTGGAGGGTGGAGAAGAGTGGTGGAGGGTGGAGGAGAGTGGAGGAGAGTGGAGGAGGATAGATGAGGATGGAAAAGGTGTGTATATATGAGGATATATGAGGATGGACAAGATGTGTATAGAGGAGGGGGTATAATAGAGGAGGATATATGAGGATGGAAAAGGTATGTATAGAGGAGGGGGTATGATAAAGGAAAGACGGTTACGCATCAATGATACGCTTATCATTGTTTTCAATCACAAGGGCGTTACCACAAATTTTATTTAAGCATTACTTCAGGGGAGAAGGGGGAACCCATGGAGGGGGGGGGGTGTATAATCAAGGAAAGAGTAGTTGCTAAAATAATAGGAATCTAATAAGGGAGGAGGGGAGGGGGGAAACAGGACAGAGAGGTATAAGAATAAATGTACGGAAAGGATAAAGTGTGTATGGCAATGCGGTGAGGGCCGGGGGTGGGGGTCATAGAAAAAGGGGGAGAGAGGAAGTGAAAGGGAAGGGATTGGGAGAGAGTTATATTTCGAATTTAAGAAGGAGTTTGTATACTCCTATGTATAATTAAATCTACAGATGACATTAAGCACTCTACACTCTACGGTCTTCACTCTACACCCTAAACTCTCTCAAATTTAGATATTTTTATTTCAATGATTTCATTAGATTTATAAACCAAGCTCTCATTAGACAACAGATGGGATTTAAACTACTAAATAAAGGATTAGATGAATTGTTAGGAAAATTTAGACCTAAATACATCGAGTAAAGCTATGTTTAGATGTAAACGATGATATCAAATACCAAATTTTCTTGCTGCAATGTATATACGTATTTGCAATTATTGCAATTGTATAAGTGTTTGTGTCCGTCACCTCGGTAGCGGGTTCCCTGACTGACTATAGAACTCTAGAGAACCATCAGTAGTGAGGCGGACTCTGGATAGAGCGGAACAATATCCTATCTATCTATCTATCTATCTATCTAGTCAACTTCCCTCGACTTTTAGTGTACTGTTATTATATCAATCCGTGCTATATCTATCTAGTTATGTTACTAGCAGAGCTGCACAAATTTCTCAGGAAATCCGTGAAACTGTGAAAAACAAAATCCGGGAATAACAAGTGATAAAAATCCTTAATAAATAAACCCGTGAAATATCCCGGGACGGATAATCTTGAATGGTTGAAAGGCTGGCAGGGGGTTAGAGGGTCATGAGAAACTAGCTCAGCTTATCCAACCCAATGAATGGAATTGGTAGGTTCAATATATGTAATTTAGTTCTTCGTGCAGGGTGAGCACGTATTTTTTCATCGGCTTAAATGACTTGAATACTTAATTCTAAGAAAATTTTCTGCTATAAATTGATAAACTTGATTCAGGGTTATTTTAACCTCTTTTTAAGTTTTGATAATTAGAATCTTAACAAATTAGTAAAACTTTAACAAGGAAAAAAACCTGATTTCTTTAAAAAACATGTAATTTGAAATTTTCCCGTTTTTATTCAGGTCTAAAATTTATTTTACCTGAAAATATTAGATGAGAAAGTTCAAAGATACATTTCAAAAAAAAATTCTTTCATTTTTGTTCTAAATGTAGCTTATGAAACTGTTTCAATTGTTTTGACTCAACTTTTACCGGGCCATAATATTTGTTTATGAGAATAGTAATCCAGTCAGAAATAGACGTTCCAAAACTTAAACTTTAAACTTAAATATATTTAGAATTTCTCACGAAAGATTTTACGTTTTAAAATATATTTAAACTTGAAGGTATTTCAACACAAAAAAAACTAAAAATTTCTTGTAATTTAATATATTATGATTGATGATGTAAATGAATAAAATATTAATTAAAAGATAAAAGTTAACAAAAAAGGCGTCGAAAATTTAAAATCTGCCAAACTTCAACTTTGCGTTCATTATCTAAGGCAATGTCATATGATATTTCTAATACAGTTACTGCAATTTTAATGTATATTTCAAATTTGTAAATATATTTTATCATTAATTTTTTATTTTTTAAATGTTTCTGAGGGTTTCTGAACTATTAAAAACTAGTGCCTTGAACATTTTCGATAGAGATCCACCCAGTGCAGTTGCTACAATTGAAAATTAAAAAATATAATATAAAAATGAAAACTGCATTTATTTCATTGTTGAAAAATATTAAATGATTCATTTCCCCATTCATTTCATTTTTCTATTTGAATAAAATATTTTCCTGTCTGGCCCTCAGACTCCATGATTATAAATCTCGAAATCAGTTTGCTTGACTGAGTCGCAAAATTCTTCAGCATAAGATATTTTTAATAAAGCGAAAGGAACTTTTATTAAATTTAACTTTGGATCTAGAGATAAAAAGAATGTGAAAGTTTAAATCGTTCTATCTTCTTATAAAGGAACTTTAAAGAGAAAATATACAATGATGCTGGTTCTAATTACTTTTTTTGAGATTTTATTTAGTATTTTTTTGTATATTGCATATACAAACCAGTATCTAAAATATAATAAAGCTCTTCTATCGCTCATATATATATATATATATAGCGATTTCTGGCCAAACAGCTGGACAACATTGGGGGAAAATTTGTGAGGGAACCCATGGTACTCTGGAGGGTGATGTAGGCAAAACAAGATCTTTTTTTCTTCTTTAAAATTCAAACGTTTTTCAATTTCTTATAAATACACAGTGCTTCACAAAATAAAATGGAAAATTCGACTTTATTCACCAGTTTATTTTGAAGAGCACTGTATATTTACGAAAAGTTGTCTTCACTGACCCTTTTATTTTAAGGAGCACCGAATATTTGAAAAGTCAATTTCAACTTTAAGTTCAGTTAACTTTACATATTTTACAAAATAAGAATAATTTCAGCATCCTCTCATTTAAGATATTATAAGTCAAGAAAAAGAGAAAAAATGAAAAATAAAAACACCCCCGAAATATTACAGACAGGTTAATCGTTTAAAAAACGATCGCTTTGTTTTTGGAAAAATGATAGTTTCTGAAAACGAACCACTCGTTTTAAGCTTTCAAAAACGATCGTTTTTGAAAATGATTGTTTCGTCATTCTTCGTCGTTTTCAAAACGAAACGATCGCTTTTTTAAAAAGTGAAAACGATATATCCCTACAGGCAGGGTTTCATTTTTAGACTATATCTACCTCCGTTTTTCAAAAAAAATCATGAGTCCTCGCCACTAAGAAGTCGATGGTTTTTAAATTTTTTTTTTTTTGATTATTTCTGAAACTGAATCAAGTTTTTAATGACTCTGAGAAAAAGTATTAAATAAGTTCAACAATAGAAATTCTTTAGAGTTTTACACGTAGTTTAAGCTTTTGATGATATTATGATGAAGAGTCCCATCATCTTAGTCTAAACAGAATTCTAGTGAAATATGCAACGGACCAAAAGAATGTGAAATACGAAGACGACTCACGCAAATCACGGTAAAAGTAAATTCAACCTATATGAAGGATAAAGTCTCACCGCGTCAACCTTTTTGCACCGGCTAGTCCTATCCATAGAGCTAGGTACAGTACAAACTGGGACCGGAAAGGTTGACCCGGCTCGGAAATTCAAATGTACTACGGCTGCCCGTGCATAAAGTACATACGCCAATATCACACAAAAAGTTTTTCTTATTTTTTGCTATTGCAGAGTAGAAATTAAATACTGTGCGGTCAAGAAACCAGAAATTAAAAAAAATTAAATAATTTCTGACTGAAACTGGAATTTTGTTTACAATAGTTCGAGAGTTAAGAAGATTTAAATACACGTTAAATGTATAAATTCAGGAAGAGGGGTCTAAGTATTTGTTTGGGCGGGGGGGGGGGGCAAAGTGCATTTAATGCATAATGCGTATATGCATTTCTGTTGGCTTAGTTTCAAGAGTAAGAGAAGTTGAATTAATTATATATTAGTTGAAGACTTCAATACAGATGTATGTACTATGTAGTTTTAAATATACAAATTTGTACATCAATATCAGACGTACAAAGTATATATATTAATATCTACATGTACGCCATACATGCAAAATATATAAGTACACCCTGGATAGTTTGTCATTGAACATCAACATGTATAAAACATAATACATGGCAAGATTAAATGAACATAAACATGTACATTGTACATAGTACATGTATAATACATGTATTATTTACAAATATCTGCATGTACACCGTACATGAGAAATACTTTCAATCATAGTTTTTTTGTACGGAAAACATAAAAAAATGTTTAACATCAATTTTTAACTTAAAACAAAAAATTCTAACTTGCCATAAAGTTCAATTTTCCAATATCTTTCATTCAAATTTGATTTCAATTAGAAAATTTGAGTTTGAAGAAATTAATCATTGCAATGTGTAGGTATCAAATAGATTGCAAATCGTGATTTAAAAAGTCAATAATGGATCATTGAATTTTTTATCATGATGAAAATTTGAATAAATAACATGGTGAAAATAATTTAAGAATTATTCGTGTTGTAAAATATTCAAACCATTTCTAGGAACAGTTTAGCACAATTGTTTCTTTATCCTTACAGGGGGGGGGGGGGGTTCTAAGGGACAACTCCCCCACTCCCCATTACAAACAATATTTAACTATCAAAAATGTTTATTTTTTTTGATACAATTCTAATTGAAATTATAATAGAAAAAATAATCTTAATGATTCTAATATTATTTAAATTGTTTGATTTTAAGTAATTTTTCTATAAAGAGGATTTAGTAATACTTTTAAAAGAATTATAAATAGTTCAAAACATATATTTTAAGGATAGGTTAGAAAATGTAACTTAAAGAGACTGTAGTGAGTAGTGACCCTCCAGTAGTATGCTGTGAATAGGATATGGCATAATATGAATTTATCTCCTCTTCTCCTAAAAATTCTCCCCATTACGTCCCTTAAACCAATCTTGAAAATATTTCAATCTTCTCTTGGCATGATCTTGATTTTCCCCCTGTAATCTGTCCTAAGATGATCCTAATTTCTGACGAAATATGAGCCTTCTTTACCATGTGATCTCACGAGAAACCATCCTATTTAGAAACAATTCACTCCTTAACTCTCTCTTTTTCAAATAGTAACTATAATATTTCATACTAATATAACATTTTTGTTATTTATTTATTTTTATAATTATGTAACTTTGGATCAATTACCTAAAAAAGTCCGTTTTTCATTTAAAATATAGACCTTGTTCTTTAATTTTAAAAACATTTTCAGCATACCCTTAAATTATATTTTTTAAATTTTCTTAATGTTATTATATTGTATTGTGTGTTTTTATGTAAATAAATAACACAAAAATATGTAAATATTAGTTTGACATATTATTATATATAGTATAGACACCTACACACCAATAATAATAAAAGTTAAAATACTTTAATACATCATCTTCATTCTCAACGTTCTTAACGTGTTTAAACAAAAATTTAATTCTAATTTTTTTCTCTTTTTTTACTCTTTTCGATTTTTACTTCTTTCGACTTTATCTTCTTTCTTTCTTTCTTTCTTTCTTTCTTTCTTTCTTTCTTTCTTTCTTTCTTTCTTCTATTTTTTTCTCTATTTCTTTTTTTCTTTTATTTTTCTTTCAAGGTTTGAAAAACACAAAATACGACCCTGGGGCTGATCCATCAAAAACCTGTCATTTCCACCACTACTACACCACCTGCAGCTAAAGAAATAAAATTTTTTTTTTTATAAAAACATTACATTTATTTGATAATGTTCAGTGCTAAGAGGGGGAATTTATATAGTGATGGTTCAATCATATTCTTTTAAGAACAGAAATTTTAAAGTTTTACAAGGTTGGTTTTTATTTAAAATGTGTAAAATGTTATGTGAAATTTATTTCGATGTGCAATATTTTTTACTCCAAATTTTATTTAAATTGTGTTATATTAAATTGTTTTAACACTTTTTTGTTTTATTTTCATTCTTATTTTTAAACCTGATCTTTTTTTGAAAACTACTTTAGAACTTTGAAGTGTGTATTTAAAATAATTTTTATATTTTTACTTTTGGTTCATCAATACTGGGATTTAAAGGTTTCAAGTTCTGAAGTACAAATCTATGATAATTTTTCCAATTACTTCTTAACAACAAAAGCTAAGAAAAAGTAATAAAATGTACATATATAGGGTTATAGAAAAGCATAATTGAGTAAGAGCAGTAAAATAAAAGCCCAAGGCGTTTTAACACTCCAAAGTCGACCCTGTCTTAAAGATTGATGAGTCTTTTTATATGCAGGCTGAAGCTATGTGAGCTAGTATTATGAGTATCAGAGTATGTACTGATGTAAGTGCACTTTAGTGTGTTCATAAATTACGCTGACAGTCCCTTTAATTTTAATATTATTTTTAACAAAGTTGTGTTGACTAGTGTGTCGGTCCTATATAGTTACCTAATGTTTTGATGATAGAGCAAGAATTATGATTATTACTGGCTTTGCTGCTTTGCACTCTACTTAAATGGGCGGAGCTTTAATGCACTTTACTGGCCTACGCTTTAACATTGTTTTTTAGCTGACATTGCCTCCGTAGCCTCCCACTTTTATTCACATTATGACATTTTACCCTCTACTAAAAGTCACCGCTTACTAAAAGTGTACAGTGTACAGTGTAGAGTGTACAGAGGGCAAAACTTAAAAGAAATTTACCGGGTATCCCAAACCAAACCTGGCCACGAAACCGGGTTAGCTCTCTTAAGTCTGGGTTTGAGTTTCGTAAGGGTTTCGGGAAACTCAGGAAACTCTGAATGTTACGGGGCAATACCTCAAAATGAAACCCTTGTATAGGAGTAGGGTTACGGCTGGGAAAGTGAGTTTCGTAGTGATTGTGGAACATATGAAGCACCATTTCTTCGTATTTATGCTTTAAATGGCTTCATATATGTTCCAAATACTTGATCAGTTAAGATCTCTCTCTCTATAGACTCGATATTGAATAGAGTACAGTCAAATCGAACTTAAAAACATTTTTCTGTTAAAAGTGAATACAGTAATTTATTTAAGTTTATCTGCTAGCAGCCCCGTAACCAGGGGGGGGGTGCAAGGGTGCAGGTGCACCCCCTTTCTTCTAAAAGAGGGGTGAAATGACGAATTTGCACCCCCCCCCCCCCTAGTCCCATATAACAGAAATTGTTTTCATAAGTTTCTAAAATCTAGTTAAAAATTATATAGCCTGAGTAAGAATAATAATATCAATAGACTGCTGAAGAAAAATTAACAATAATCTACCTAATACATTAAAATAGTTTTTTCAAAAAGTCATGTAAATCACTTTCGCTTAAAAATCTTAGTGATATTGTAAAAATTTAGAATGCAACAGAAAAAAAAAATTGTAGCCTTAGAAATTTTTTTAATGAGATCCTTGTGCAAAAAAAAACTTTTTTAAGTTTAATAAGTACCAAAAATATTCTTTAACCTAAAAGAAAGTCTCAGCAAATTCACAAATGTATCTGATGACATCACATCTACATGTACTCCATACATGCAAAATATATAAGTACACCCTGGATAGTTTGTCATTGAACATCATCATGTATCGGATTTAATACATGGCAAGATTAAATGAACATAAACATGTACATTGTACATAGTACATGTATAATACATGTATTATTTACAAATATCTGCATGTACACCGTACATGAGAAATACTTTCAATCATAGTTTTTTTGTACGGAAAACATAAAAAAATGTTTAACATCAATTTTTAACTTAAAACAAAAAATTCTAACTTGCCATAAAGTTCAATTTTCCAATATCTTTCATTCAAATTTGATTTCAATTAGAAAATTTGAGTTAGCGTCGAAAACTTGACTCCATTATTCAAATAAAATATTTTAATTTTTTTAACCGGATGTTTCTTAAACTGAACAATAATAGAAGAAACTTTTACTATTATTTTACACTTGGTAGATTAAAGTCGATTAACATTTAAAACAGGATTTTATTTCATTGTTTTTTTAAAAAAAATTTAATTTAATCAGATGATCTGCAATAAATGATTATCTTGTTTATCCGCAATCAATAGTAAAGTTTTAAAATGGACTTTGGACTTTTATGGACTTTAATGGAGTTTTTGGACTTTAATAATAGACTTTAATGGACTTTAATGGACTTTAGTGGACTTTAATGGACTTTACTGGACTTTACTGGACTTTACTGGACTTTACTGGACTTTACTGGACTTTACTGGACTTTACTGGACTTTAATGGGCTGTAATAGACATTTATGGACTCGGGATAAAAGTCTTTAATTAGAAAGATAATACATAACGTCCTAAGTTAAATAAGGCAAAGTATTAACAATTGTATAACTATTTTAGATTTTCATGATTACCGTTAAGTAAATGAATTATTAGTATTATAAATAATATTTCTATACCTATACAAGAAAAATGTTTTATTGGGAAGTAAATATTTGTTTAGGTAAAAAGAAAGAATTCGAAAAATTTCTTATAAATGGATAGAGAAGATTTTTTTACATGCTTCAAGCTCAATTCGAAAAATGAGATATTTTGCATTTTTTAGCCGAGCTTTGAATGAAATTGAAGTAAATGCGTTAAATACTTTTGTTAGAAATTAAACAATAAAAAATATTCATTACAGAATTTAAAAAAAAATATTCATTACAGAATTTTTAAAAGAATTTTTAACGCAATTTGGCGATGACAATAACAATTAATAATTTTGATTTTTCATATTGATAACATTTTACGTTTGAACTTTAAAGCTTTTCCGACATATTGGTAGAATGCAATAATGGCTTTTTGTAGACTTTTCTATAAACGAGCCTGATATTGCAACTTCCTTTCACTTTCTTCTTATAAATTGAAAGTATAGATCTTTCTATAATGTTTATAAGATTGCAGGGGAATGTCAAGGAGATATTTATCACCCTATAGACTAACCAGGGTTATAGATCTGTCTCTTCAATTCGAATTCAATTGCGTTTGATCTATAATCCAAAAAATACGTTTGATTGGTGATACTGGGATCGAAAGTCACAACTTGCTGGGAAAAGGACAAACAAATTAATTTTTTTTAAAAATTTTAGTTTTGAATTGAAACCATTTTTTTCATCGCACAGCATACGAAAATAACAAAAATTTAAGATTCCGCAGTTTTTTATGATTTCATTTTCTCAACGACGGATTTTTCCCAACTTTTATTGTGGAGTTCAGTCGAACCAGGGGAATGTTTTAAGTTTGGTTTAAAAGATCCAAGTTGATTGGGTTGATTGCATTAGAGAATATTTATGTTTACAGGCAAAGCTGGGTTCCCAAGCTAGTATATTATAGATATAGACTAGAGTGGAGTTGAGGATAATTGAATCAAAAATACATCTTTTCCCAAAAACATATTTTTTGATCTATGTACTGTGTGATATTATTGATAATTTATTAGACTTGTCTTTCACTGTTTTTATTAATGCTGTTTTTTCCAAAAAAAAATTTGTTTGTAAAGATTTCATTTTTCTTTAAGAAACCTGTACGAGTATGTTGTTGAACTCGTTAAAAAAAACAAAGTATAAAAAGTGAATATTTAATTTTCTTTAAAATATACATAAACATATTTTTTTATCCCCCCCTCCCTGAATTATATTATATGAATAGCAATATTGCGAGTTTAGAAAATGTTCAGTGCGACTGCATTTGCGGTGAAAGGTAAAATTGTTTTTTCATAAGTTAAATGCGATTTAAAAATGGTTAAATAAATGGTTAAATATTAGCGCAAGGGGTGGGGTGCTCCCTGAGTTTGAAGAATATAAAACTTGAATATATATCTCTAGACTGAACCAGTGTGTTTACTTTAATTTAGTTGATCTAGTATTCAGCACTAGTCACACCAAACTTTACTCATTATTCTATATTAATGTCAACAAAATATAGAATATAGAGGATTCTTAGTTTAGTTGAACAGATATATAGGATTCTCAATCTAGTTAAACAGAATATAGAGGATTCTTAGTCTAGTTGAACAGATATAGAGGATTCTTAGTCTAGTTGAACAGAATATAGAGAATTCTCAGTCTAGTTGAACAGGATATAGAGGATTCTCAGTCTAGTTGAACAGGATATAGAGGATTCTCAGTCTAGTTGAACAGGATATAGAGGATTCTCAGTCTAGTTGAACAGATATATAGGATTCTTAGTATAGTTGAACAGGATATAGAGGATTCTCAGTCTAGTTGAACAGATGAATAGGATTCTTAGTCTAGTTGAACATGATATAGAGGATTCTCAATCTAATTGAACAGAAGTGTAGGATTCTTAGTCTAGTTGAACAGGATATAGAGGATTCTCAGTCTAGTTGAACAGAATAAAGAGGATACTCAGTCTAGTTGAACAGAATATAGAGGATTCTCAGTCTAGTTGAACAGATATAGAGGATTCTTAGTCTAGTTGAACAGGATATAGTGGATTCTCAGTCTAGTTGAACAGGATATAGAGGATTCTTAGTCTAGTTGAACAGAACATTGAGGATTCTTAGTCTAGTTGAACAGAGCATTGAGGATTCTTAGTCCAGTTGAACAGATTGTGGAGGATTCCTTTAGTCTAGTTGAACAGAATATATAGGAAAAGAATTAGTTCTCATAAATTACCTTTTCTTACCTGAAATACCACATCTGCAAAAAATGAATTTATTATATGTTTTCATTTCAAGTCTTATCTTCCAAATCTATGTATAAATAAACAAACATGCGTACACCCATGCTTTGCATATTGCTCTGATTGTGAGTTTTCTTTTAGTTTTTGTTTGCTGGGTGACTAAGGGATGTTTGGTTTGGTTTGTTTACTTTGCTTAATTTGTGTGTGTATTGTTAGTATTGTTAGTGTAATGGTATATTGTCGGTGTTTGTGTTCGGTTTGTAAGTTTGTCACAGTCTTTCTTTTTTCTAGTCTGGGGTTGGGTAGGGTTACTGTTATGTAAATAGATCACCACTTACCATCATCCACAGACACTGTATTCTGCATAAATAAAGGATTAAGACAAATATCAATCTTTCTTTGGCTAGACTTCTTGGTTCTGTAACTTTTATTCCATCAGTTCTATATTTTTTTGTTGCATCTTTCGTGGATTTTCATATAATAAGTGAAAACTTCGTACACATAGATAAACACAAGAACGAACAAAATATATGCCATACATACTAGCCCAGGAACTCGGCTTTGCCCGGGTTTATATTATTGTGCATAGTTCCTCCCATCGTTTACCTGGGCTTGGCATTAAATTATGATTAATATGAATGATGAATAATGATGAATTATTAGCTGAAGTGCCCGAAGATACTAACTGCAGTTTAATTTTAAAAAATAAAAAAATACCTACCTACCTTCGGAGTACCCATGGATTCCCTAAAAAAATTCAACCAAATTGGCCAAGCCGTTTGCCTAGCTATGGCTAACATATATATATATATATATATATATATATATATATATATATACATTTAGGAGCGAAGAGCTTTATCATATATAGACAAAAAAGCCAAGTATATCTGGTTGTTAGCTATTTTCTTGATCATTACGCCGTATTAAAATAGAAAAAGAGAAACATATTTCCTTATCTTATTGGAAACATTTGAATGGATGCAAATATTTCTAAAACCCTATCGGAAGCCATGCAGATAAACATACATTTAGAATATGAAATGTAAAACAAAACAGTATATAGGAACTATAGAAAGCAATAAAAGAGATAAAATAAGGAAATTGATGAAACGAAATGATCAAGAATATTCGCGTATAATTGGATAAAATGTTTTCTTATAAAATTACCAAGTTTCAGAGTTTAAAACTCAATTTCAAAATTTAGAAGCATGAAACTTTTTAAACAGTAAAGTACTGTTTATTTTAGTTACGTCAAATTCAATTTTTGAAATTTTAAAGCAATTTACGCAATGTTAGCAAATTAAAAGGAAAAAGGTTTTACTTTGCGACTTCTTAACAACTCTGTTTTTTATTGTACAAATAAGAATTAAGTAATAAAGTAAGTAATGTTTAATGAACATAGAGTGAGAACCATAGAACTGTGGAATTGGAAGACGACTTTTGGACTGAAGTTTTGCCTTAAAATATCTAGTAAAACTATTTGCTTTGTAACAAAATCAAATACAGTTATTGCTATAAATTCGTTTTCCTGCTCCAATGTTTTCTGGTTCTCCCTGTATACAATGTTAACATATTGGCAAGAGATATACAATTCGCAATCTCATATGACAGTCTTAAAAACGTTATTATCTATTTATGTCATTGTAATGGGTATTACTAAGTGCGAAAAAGTTTTGCCGAGATTTTTATTTTTTCTAGTTTGTTTAAAAAAAAATACTTGTAATTTGATCGAAAACAAACTAGAAAAATTAAAAATCACTGCAAAACATTTTCGCACGCGTGATACCCATTTCAATAACATAAATAGTTTTATTCAGTTTTAGTCAAATTATTTAAAAGCAGGTCGATAAAGTTACTTGATCACCCTGTTGTAGGGTGATTAAGTATTTTTATCACCCTACAATGAGACAAATTAGGTATGAAATTTGAAATTTTAATAGCAGGGTGAAAAAGTTACTTTTTCGCCCTGTTGTAGGGCGAAAAAGTCACTTAATCACCCTACAACGGGAAATATTAGGTGTGATATATTCTATTAAAATTAGACAAGAAACAACATTTAAAATTTTAAACTAAAATGAAACGAAATCTAATTTTCTTTTACTCTTTTATGGTAACAAAGTTATTGTTTACTATTTGATAATCTCTGCTATTTAAAGTTATAGAAACTTGTGTGTGTGTTCTAGACTAATTTCCATAAAGTAAACAAACAACAAAACTACTTTTTAAACCGGTTTTATTCTTTTTGCACAATATTTCTAATTTCTTTGTATTGTGTAGGGCAGGCTGGGGGAAAAACCTCGTTTCTCTTTAATAAATCCTGAATATAAACTCATATTATGTTGATAAATATGATTCATATTTTCGCATTTCTTCCATGCTTTCTTTTTACCAAGTCAAGTAAAGTTCTAGTACTTGACTAAATTTTTAAATTTCAGATTCCAATTGATGAAGATTGAAAAAGAAGGGAAAACCTGCTGAAAAAGTGAATTCTTATGAAAACAAACAGTGAATTGATTTGACACAATAATGTTGGAAGACGATAAAGTATCGGATTAAAAGTGATTTAGAGGAGTGAGAAAATGCGCTGGATTCAGTTTATTCTGCTTGTGGGCAGTACAGTGCAGTACAGTGCACAGTTCCAATCCTGCCCGTCTGTTTGTACATGCAAATGGAAAAATGGTAAATATCAAATTGCTTTAGAGTTTAAAAGTTTGCGCAAGCGCAAATCCAATTTGAATGCCGGGCAATATTCTTGAACAAGAGATTTGCTCGTCTTCATAATTTCTCGTCCATAGACGAGAACACAGGTTAGAAAATAGAACCTAGATTCTTGGAAAATAATTTTCAACATTTTTCAATTAAAAACTTATTTCCCTAAAACAGGGCTTCTTTAATATCTTTAAATCATTCGAAGTATTAAGGTGCAATAAAAGGTTTATTTGAATTAAATATTGAGGTTGATTCTGTCACTCACTCCGAATATATTTATTCATAGTAGAAGCAACTTAGCAAGGACAAAATGTTGATGTACAGTTTACACCAAAGATTTTGGGCCATCGAAAGAATTTATGAAATGTCGTCTTGACATTTTTTCAATGTGTTTTGTACTATTATATGCAAATCTCACTAATTGCAAAAAAATCAAAAAAATCGCCATAACTATATGCGGAAACAGTTTTGAAGAGATCTATGTAATCATTTAGTTAAAATACTAGTTAATAAATTATCAGAAAGTTAAGAATACGAAATTTTATAAATTCTTCCGATGTCTCTTTATATTTGAACTTAACTGTATTGAATGTTTTTATGTTAATTTGAAATTATATATATATTTTTTAATACAAAATCTACTGAATGTGAAACAATTTTTGATTATAAAATATTAAACTTAAACTATTTCTGAGCTTTTCTTTGAAAAGAAATGTTTAAAACTTGATAAGAAAGCAACAGAGGAAGAATAAGATTAAAATCTTTTTCATTGTTGATGTCTGAATATCTCGGATCAAATTGATCAAATATAATTTAAACTACTGAAAAGTAATAAACTTATGTACACATGAACAAAAATTGCGCTTTTGAACAGGCATGTTAACGAAGATAGACTTATACATGAGCTATATGACTTACACATGTTCATTTGTTTTCTTTTGCCCTACATTTTAAACCTCGTGTTTTAAACACAGAATATGGTTAAATAATTATTAAAAAATTGTCCCATCGTATTCTGCTTAGAATATGCAGCCGGCAACCACCTGTCCAATCCAATCCATTTTATGACAACAAATGTTTCAATTTTATCATTATGTGTTTGTATTTGTATTTCTGTATGATATCTATCTACCTATCTATGTAATCTTCAATCTATCTATCTATTCATCTATCTTCATAACAAATTCCACCGTGTAATTCGTGTAATGTTGCAGCTGCCTGTTTATTACTCACTTCCGGTCAACATTATTCATTCATTCATTCATCATTCATTCATCATTCATTTATTCATTCACCATTCATTCATCATTCATCATTCATTCATCATTCATTCATTCATTCATTCATTCATCATTCATTCATTATTCATTAATCATTCTTTCATCATTCATTCATCATACATTCATCATTCGTACATCATTCATTCATCATTCATTCATTTCATCATTCATTTCATCATTCATTCATCACTCATTCATCCTATATTCATCATTCATTATTCATTGTTCGTTCATTTTTATTTTCATGTCTATTATTTTATTAATGTTTTTATGTGTATTCTAATTACTGCTTCTATTTTATTATTGTTATTTCTATTTCTAATTTTATTTTTATTCCTCTCTTTATGTCTTTATTTGTATGCTACATCTATTTCTATTATTATTGTTATTTCTATTTCTATTTTTAATTTTCATTCCTCTCTTTATGTCTATATTTGTATGCTACTTCTATTTCTATTATAATTGTTATTTCTATTTCTATTTTTAATTTTCATTCCTCTCTTTATGTCTATATTTGTATGTTCCTACTTCTATTTCTATTATTATTGTTATTTCTATTTATTTTCTATTTTTGTATCACCGTAATCCATATGGATCATAACTAATATAAACTAATTAAATTATAACAATGATAAATGAACAAATATCTATAAATGGAAAACAATACAACTTTTTGTCTAAAGCAAATCAAAAGTGAATATAAATGGGGGGAAATCAAAAGTGAATATAAATGGAGGGAAAATCAAAACAGTTTGAAAATATTTTTAACCGCGAAAGAAAGAATGCTGATTTTTAACATTCATTGAATGTTTTAGTTTTGCGACTATATTTCGTGTTCTAATAAAAGTAACCTCAAGTTTATTATCCACAATGTATCTTAATCGGTACAAACCTACTTTCATTGTATTAAATAATTAAATAATTTTTTTTTGCTATTTTTTTTTAAATTTCCAGAAAGACTTTCAACTTTTTTATCGTTTCTCTATGGGTAACAAAAGAAGACCTCCACGGGCATCAGTAGTACATTTGAATTTCTGAGCCGGGTCAACCTTTCCGGTCCCAGTTTGTATTGTACCTAGGTCTATGGACAGGACTAGCCAGTGCAACAAGGTTGACGCGGTCAGACTTTATGCTTCATATAGGTTAAATTTACTTTTACTAAAGAGGCAGATGTGCGTGCCTCTAGAGAGTTTAAAAACTATGTTGGAAAAATGTTGAAAAATATTTGTTTTTACTTTTAAAAAATATTTACATGTTATTCCATCCAGTTTTCAAGGGCTTTTCAAATAATTTTCAAATTTAATATCTGTAGCTCAGTTAATAAAAAAGTTACAGACTATTTTAGATTTTTTTAAACACCAACCAGTCGTTTGACCGTCCTCTACCCTATGAATAACAACTAAGCAACATTTGTTCACAAATATAAAGTTGAAAAAGTGAAGAAGTTTTAGCGCTGTAGTTTAAGCTGTTTTAAGTTGGGAAAAGCATATGGAGGGTTGGGGATTGCAGTACATTGCAGTGCATTGCAGTACATTACAGTACATAACAGTACATTGCAGTGTATTGCAGTGCATTGCAGTGCATTGCAGTGCTTGCAGTGCATTGTATTACATTGCAGTGTACATTGAAGTACATTGCAGTGCATTGCAGTATAAAGTACATAGTTTTTAAACCTCAAGAAATCTTGGTGAAAAAGTTGAGCTTTACTTTATCACAGCTTATATCACCCTTATTGATATGGTTTCTAAAACATAGTTAAAGTAAAAGAAGATGTAAACCACAGTTTCTAGTTCAAGCGGAACATTTTATACTAAAACTGCAGGTAGCAGTCCATCCGGACCTTTGACTATCAAACCATCCAGACCTTTAACTATCAAACCATCCAGACCTTTAACTATCAAACCATCCAGACCTTTAACTATCAAACCATCCATACCTTTACCTATCAAACCAACCAAATCTTTAACAATCAAACATCCAGACCTTTAACTATCAAACCCTACAGACCTTTAACTATCAAACCATCCAGACATTAACTATCAAATTACACAAACATCTAACATTCGGTTAAATACATAACTATACACAACTATCTGTAATTCTAATTATCTAATTCTATACATACTTCCAATTTGAACTATCGATATATTTCTATATTTCAATAGAATCAATGTTTATGTTATTTAACAACTACCTGTATTTCTAACCTTCTTACAAACTATCTATATATCTAACTATCTATCTATCCAGGGAAGAGATGGGTGGAGTGCAGGAACAAGGGACAAATATCTCTACCAGACAATATAGATCCAGAAACACAGGTAGATAGACAGATAATAACAGACAGATAGACAGATAAAAACAGACAGATTAACAGGCAGAAAATATACCGATAGACTGGTAGACTGATCAAATAGTTGATTAGTAGAATTAGACTAATAGAAAAATATACCTTTAGACTGGTAGAAAAGTAGGCTGGTAAACTAGTAGACTAGTAGACTTGTAGACTTCTAGACCAGTAGACAGGTAGACTAGTAGACTGGTAGACTAGTAGAATAGTGGTCTTGTAGAATAGTAGACTAGTAGACTAGTAGACAAGTAGACAAGTAGACTAGTAGACTAGAAGACAAGTAGACTAGGAGACTAGTAGACTAGTAGACTAGTAGACTAGTATACTAGTAAACTAGTAGAAAAGTAGACTAGTAGACTTGTAGACTAGAAGAATAGTAGACTAGTAGACTAGCAGACTAGTAGACTAGTAGACTAGTAGACTAGTAGATTAGTAGACTAGTGGACTAGTAGACTAGTATTCTAGTAGACTAGTAGACTAGTAGACTTGGTGACTTGTAGACTAGTAGATTATTAGACTAGTAGACTAGGAGGCTAGTAGACTAGTAGACTAGTAGACTAGTAGATTAGTAGACAAGTAAATTAGTATACTAAAAGACTAGAAGACGAGTAGACTAGTAGACTAGTAGACCAGAAGACTAGAAGACTAGTAGATTAGTAGACTAGTAGAGTAGAAGACTAGTAGATTAGTAAATTTGTAGACTATTGGACTAGTAGACTAGTTGACTAGTATACTAGTAGACTAGTAGACTAGTAGACTAGTAGACTAGTAGACGAATAGACTAGTAGACTAGAAGACTAGTAGATTAGTAGACTAGTAGACTAGTAGACTAGTAGACCAGTAGACTAGAAGACTAGAAGACTAGAAGACTAGTAGACTAGAAGACTAGTAGATTAGTAGATTAGTAGACTAGTAGACTAGTAGACTGGTAGACTAGTAGACTAGTAGACAAGTAGACTAGAAGACTAGTAGATTAGTAGACTAGTAGACTAGTAGACTAGTAGACTAGAAGACTAGAAGACTAGAAGACTAGTAGACTAGAAGACTAGTAGATTAGTAGACTAGCAGACTATTGCACTGGTAGACTATAAAGTGTAAAGTGTATAAACAAAGTGTTTACTCTGCACACAGAAACTAATATAAAGGGATCTAGCGTGTACTCAACCATTAATATTGTTCTATGCTTTATCCATGGATCTAGGAACACAAAGACTGATTATTCTTCTACAAATTTACCAATGATAGATCCATGTGATTCAATCGTTACTTAGTTCAGTTTAAGGCTGGCCTGAATATTGGGCTACAGTGCTAAAACACTTACTGTTCACACTTTGATAGTATTTTTGATTTATTGTAAGTCCATGGTGTTACAATATGAAGACATGAGCTCATATACGACACGTTTGTGTGTATATATCTCTAGTATACATATATCCAATTGTAAAACGTAAAAACTTAAAATTTAATTAGCAGTTTTAATCTTAATAACATGAATGCCAATCAAAGAGAAGAGGGGGGTGGGGGGTCAGTCCCCATGTTAATGTGGGGTGGGTTGTTACCCCAAAAGGATGAGACTACATAGACGATTGATTTTTGTTAAATGATTTCACGACACTTTAATTTTTTCCTTTTTTGCCTAATGAAACAAATGAAGATTATATACTTAACTTTTACCCGGGCATTGTCAAATTCAAAGAGATTCAGGTCGTACTCGTCTTTACAGCCTCGTCCTTTGTGATTAACCCTGTATGTAATTTCTAGCTGAAGGGGGGGGGGGGAGGGATAACTTGACTCGGACCAATGGGTGGACTTTGTAGATTTGTCATAATTAATCAAATAAGTTTTTACCTCTCAATAAAAGTATTAAATTACAGAAAAGCCTGCTCAGACTTCTAGATTGTTTTCAGAAAGTAGAACAGTCGGCTTTCAATACATCTTGAGGGAAACTTAGGGCTGTGCAGTGGGAGCCAAAAAGCAGCGGATTTTTTTAAATTGTGAAATGTCATTATACATTTCCATGGCGAAATCTCTTTACAAGAATAACAACGACGACATCGATCTGGATAAAGTTTCAACCTAGCACCCGATAAAAAAACCCATCTAATGATAAATTCCAGAAAAGTAAAAATCCTGAATTATCTAAATGACTCGATAATTTTTCTATTAACTTTTGTCGCAATGGCGCTTCACGAACTTTTTCTTTCGAAATCTCCGAAGTCGCTAAAAAAACATAATTTTTTTACAAGAAAAAAAAAACATGGTTGAAGAAATTTTATTATTTCTAAGCATATTTTTCCGGAACATTTTCTATCCATTAAAAAACGAAAAAATCCTCGGCATATTATTTTTAAGGCCTGTAATTTAGGCACACAAAAACTACAACATTGATAATACAGAAATATATATTCCCCCCCCCCCTGGTCCCTAGAATTAAGTTGTAAGTAATGAACATGCATAAATTGTATAAATTGTGTTGTAGATGAAACCATATAAATGAGAGGATTTTAGATTAGTTTACGTGAATTATAGTTTAAATACAGTTAAGCGATTAACAATAAATATTGAATAAAAATATACAATTATAAAAGAAAGATTGTGACTAACAAGTATGATATGAAACCAAGGGGGATTATAGTTCTCTACCTGTGTGCTCAGTTAGCTGTACTGTACACTTACCACTGTTTACTAATATTGAGATGCATAGGTTAGGCCAGAATCTACTTATAAAAAACAAATATGCAGTACGCTCTCAGTATAGTTCCTGGCCTATATAATTAGTAAAGGATTAGCGTACATTATCACTCTGTACGCTATAACCTCGTTGATTAGCGTACATCATCACTCTATACACTATAACCTCGTTGATTAGCGTACATCATCACTCTATACACTATAACCTCGTTGAATAGCGTACATCATCACTCTATTCACTATAACCTCGTTGATTAGCGTACATCATCACTCTATACACTATAACCTCGTTGATTAGCGTACATCATCACTCTATACACTATAACCTCGTTGTCTGAGACCTATCCGTCATGAAAAAAGCGCAATTTTCCTAAAATTACGTTCGTTTTAAAATATTTTTTTTAGAATTTTAAATTTTTTGTTCACTTGTCATTCTTGCATGCAACACAACTTCAATTGATAAATTTTCATGTTAAAGGAATTGAGTTTTTACCACAAACTCAAATCTTCTGATCCTAATAATTTTACAACCTGATGGTGCAACCCTGTGATATTTCAAACTTAGATTATTTTATCTATAAGTATTAATAGTTTGAAATATCTAAGGTCTACGACATTGGGTTACAAAGATATAGAGATTAGAAAATCAGAGTTTGTGGCAAAAACTCAACTCCTTTATTCTGATTTAGATAAAATATCAGATCAATGAATTTTAATATTTTGATTTGTGTGATCTAAACAATGAACATTTAAAATATTGATGCTTCATTTTGGTCACGTTTGAACATTGATAAAATAAATATAAAAGTTCATTTACCAAAATATACTTTTATTAGTCAAATGTTCTAAAAAAGAGGTTAAAAATCTGATCTTTAAAATTAATTTACTGGTCACGCAAGTGTCTCACCAAAAACATGTTGACTTTTTGAATTTTAAAAACTCACCAATGAAGACAGTGAAATCTACCAAATTGTCATTGTTATTATTTAAAATGTACAAAAAATAAATACAGATACACTAGCAACAAAATAAAATTGGTGCAAGCGCCCTGTAACCCTAGTTATAATACTGCAATATCAATTTAAAACTGCATTTATAAGATGAAAAATATGCATAATACCGCATTATTCTTTTTAACCTGGATATAAATTTTCTATAATTTCTCTCGAGTTCCCCAATCAAAATTTGAGACAAATCGGTTAAAGGGTTCATGAGTTATGATCGGACAAACAAGCAAACATATCAACAGATATTATTACTTTATATATTTATAAAGATAGTTAATCTTTTAGTAGGTATTGCAGCAATCACAAGTGTAGGCTATTTTGATAAATGTCAGTTCTTGTTTTCTTGTTCTAATTTTTCAAGTGAATGCATTAAAATACTGCAGTGTGGAAACACCTAGTAGTCAAAACATTTAAAATAAACTAGAAATATATATAGATATTTGGGGACAAGTCGTAACGCAAAAATATAGGAGCTTTTAGTTCACTAAAATTAATTAATTTGCCGAGTCCATTAGCGCCTGATCCAATCAGTGTTTGGTGTCTATTCTTAACCAATAGAAATTGCATCTAACATCTAGCTTTTTATCTATCTCATTATCCAATTAGAGATAAATACAATTATATTTCAGTAAATGAAAATATTTACTTCTACTGAAACTATAGGATACTTTTAGTATTTAACTATTATAACTAAGCTAAATGTGCATACACATATTTAATATATAAATAAATATGAAAACTGAGAAGCTTCACTGATTATTGCTTTATAGTTACATATATTTCATGCATACGAATAAATAATAATAACCAGTAAAAAGCGTGTTATAAAAATTGTTTTTTTTTCAAATCTTTTTATTCGAAATAAAGGTTAGGATGTTGTGATCAATAACTGGCAAAACTCTGAAAATGTGCTTAAACATTTTTACAGATTTATTAGTTTTATATTTTAACAGTTTCAAATGGCAGAGTCCTTAGTTCTATTTCTTTTTTTTAAGGGAATGTAAGAGTAATTTCAAGCGATCTTCTATACTAAGTTTACGGTGCCTGATTTACAACGGTACCCTTAAAAGCTTTGCCTGATCAAATATGAATTAGATATTTTAATAATTTTAAAAATTGATTTTTTTTCAATTGTGATTTTTCTTGCGCATTTATATTGCAGCCGCAGAAATCATTGAAATTATTAAAATTTATCACTTTTTAACCTAAAACAACGACAATGTCTTCCACAATATTAATCATATAAAGGTTTCAAAAGTGAATCTGGCTTTGCCATCTTTCAAGTTCAAATATTGCTTACAGTCCCTTTAACAGCTGCTAATGGCATTGGCAAAATGGTTAGTTGCTTAGTTATTTGTTATCCCTAGGTGAGCAATGAGCATATTATTTGTTATCCCTAGGTGAGCAATGAGCATATTATTTGTTATCCCTAGGTGAGCAACGAGCATGCTGATTTCTGAGAAACTCTGAGTTGAATCAATGATTCGTTTTATTTCATATTACAAAGTTAAATCAAATCTAGAAAAATGAAAATCAAGATAAAATCATCCAGATAAATCTAGATAAATAGTGAAAATCTTAAAAGTAAAGGAAAACTTTCTGCTCCAAGAACTTTATAAGTCTGTGAAGGAATAGAATGAGGTGGATTCACAAAAACTATCAAATACTGAGATTCATTTTAGACTAAGCTGGATATTTTTGAATGGGTGAAACTAATCTAAATCTATTCAAACGACTAAGAGTATTATCTAAAATTTTGAAAAAATAATTTTAATTTGAAATATTTAGGTTTTGGATTTGACCGGTAACAATCTTCAAATTCTACCTAGAGAAGTTTTCAGTCGACATGGACTTTTAAACCTTCAGAAACTCAAGCTATCAGACTGCAATATAGGTAACTAGCTAGCTTTACAATAGCTATCAGACTATAATATAGATAACTACCTAGCTTTATAATAGCTATCAGACTAAAATATAGGTAACTACCTAGCTTTAGAATAGCTATTTAAAATAAGATATAAAATAAGTAACTACCTCTAGTTTCTTAATAGCTATCAATTTACTTGATAAATAGATAGCTCAATTGCAAGATAAATTTATATTAGCTTTAATGCTGCAATAGCTATCAGACGGACTGCAATTTATCTTAGTGCAGATTGTAATAAAAGTTCTACAAAAGACTAGTTTGTCTATATTTATTAGCTTTCAGAGAAAACAAATTCCATATATTCTGTCATGTTTTGGTTGTCCTTACTTCTCTCTAATCTCCCCCCCCACCTGCCCCTTAAATA